CGCGACGACGACCAGCCAGCCCAGAATCCTCGAGCTCCTCGTCCAGTCCCGCCCAGTCAGCACCGCCGCCTGGACCGCCGCTCACTCCGATCCGAGCGCCGTCCATCCCGACTCAAGCGCCGTCCTCATTCGTCGAGCGTCGATTCGTTCCTGCTCCCCCTTTTCCGCTTGTCCTCAGATCCAGATCCTATTGAAGACTATTTGGCTTGAGTGATTTAAAGCAGAGTCCCTATTCACTCAACCAACCCATTTGATTTGAGTCAAGTGTGGACCAGACCCACTTGACCCAATCCGGAGTTGTTGAAGCTAGTTGAGTCAGATTCAACCATTTGATCCCTGATTTTACAATTGATGGTGTATGGCAGATCCTGATGCAGATGACGGAATCGTGCTAGATCCAGAGACCGGCATCGCAGATTTACAGCTTTCCCCGTGGTTTGATTATCAGTCATTCGAGAGCGTGCCCGAGTACGTTGAGCGTGTGATTCATCAGATCGTTGACAGCGTAGAGAGTAGTTTGGGAATCAGTTCGTGGCATCGGCGTTTCCATCCAGATACACCACTCCATCCGAATTACGCCGCCCTCGGTGGAGAGCTTCCACCCCTCATATTTGGCGTCGTTGAACCACCTCCAGAGGATCCTCCCGTCGAACCAGTTCAACCCGACGAAGGTTCAACTTTCTTTCGCCCAATTATTTTCGGAACTGCTATTGCTTGCATGTTGTTATCAATATTACTATCGATCGTATTTGTGCTGTAATCAGTTTGACTAAGTGAGCGAGCGAATCTGTTGCTAAGTATTTTTACTTATCCAAATATTACACTTTGAACTGTATTGAGAGAACGAATCATTACATTTATTTTCTGGATCATTTACAAAGATTTGAACTTAGTACATTGCAACTTTTGCTTAAAACCCATCGAAAGCTACACTTTATTCTTGAGCTTCCTGCCTAGATCGATCGCTGATTTGGCGAAGCATTGCTGTTGTTAATCTTCATACCTGCATCACATTGTTTCGCATCATTTTTGGTATCAGAGCACCTGGTTCTAGGTTAGAAAATTTGTGAGTCTTTATATTTAAAAAAAAAAAAAGTTAGTCATCTCAATTAATTTTTGTGCACCCACTCATTTCATCGCATTTATTTGTTAGTGCATGCCCACTCGTACCGGTCTACCCTATCGCTTAGGAGAGTCAAGTGAGTCGACTAGTGAGTCCAGTATGTCAGGCAGCAGCGATCCCGAACTCTATAAGAAACTCGATGAGCTAGCAGGACAATTAGGTGCCGTAGTCCAGGGTTTAGCCAATCTCCGAAATGAAACCAACGAAAAGTTTGCTAGGCTCGAAGAAGCTCGCGTTGCAACCCCGCCACTGCAAGGTCAAGGCTATGGAAACATCGTTCAACGGCCCCCACATCAACCAGTACCTGATCCGGATGCGCAATACCTGAGGAGTATTAAGATCAACGCCCCAACCTTTGACGGCAAGCTCGACCCACAAGCTTTCTTGGACTGGCTGAAGAGCATGGATCGTTATTTTGATTGGTACGCCCTGACGGAACCCCGAAAGGTCAAATTCGCCGCTATGAAACTTACCGGACCTGCTTGCCAATATTGGACCAACCTCGAAACGTTGAGGCACATTAGAGGTGAGTTACCGATTACAACTTGGCGAGAAATGACCAACGAACTCAAACAGAAATACCTTCCGCCATCATTTTATCATCGGTTATTAGATAAGTGGCATCGCCTCACTCAAGGAACCAAATCTGCGAAAGACTACGTCGCACAATTTGACGAACTGTTCACTCGATGCAACACTATTGAACAAGAGGCGCCAATGAAAGTCTTGTCGAAGTTTAGAGCTGGATTGAGAAATGATCTGCAAACCGAACTCTTTGCTCGGGGAGTAGACACCCTTGAAAAAGCTTACGCGTTAGTTCAAGATCTAGATGAAGCCAAATCCCATCAATCTTATAGGAATCAGGATTTTAGAGCTCATTCTTCCCAATCTTCCCGTGCCACTACTTCTAGTCATCCTCCGAGTCGATCTAACCCCAGTTCTTCCCAGTCTAAAGTCGATCCCAAAGGCAAGGAACCAGAGAGAGATTTCTCCAAGATTGGCGCTCACGTCAAGTGCTACAAATGCCAAGGGTATGGGCATGTTTCTGCGAACTGTCCGACCCGTCACAAGGTGGCTATCATCGATGGGCAATACGAATATGAACCTGAACCTGATAGTGATGAGTTTGTCCATCAAGTTGACGATGATACCGATGATTTCGAGGATGATGCAGATGATACTATCTTGAGTTGTCTTAGACAAATTAAAACTCCTACTGTATCAGTTGTCAGATGCGCCATCTCTCAACCCAAGGCTGTTGATGACTGGAGACGTACTTCTATTTTCCATACGTTCACCAAGATTGGTGATAAAAATTGTAAGGTGATCGTGGATAGTGGAAGTTGTATTAATGCGGTCTCCTCAGCTGTGATCACTAAGCTTGGTCTCAAGGTTGTCCCCCATCCTAATCTATACAAGGTATCATGGATTAACGACACCGCCCTCAATGTCCAAGAGAGATGCCTAGTCCCTCTTCAATTTGCCATTTATAAGGACAAAGTTTGGTGCGATGTTCTGAAAATGGATGTGGGTCAGGTTATTCTTGGAAGGCCTTGGTTATTCGATAACGATGTGCATATTTTCGGGCGATCCAACATGCTATTGTTTGAGCATGACGGGAAAAAGGTCAAGTCTTCCCAAGGCGTTAACCTGATAGGAGCTAAAGAGATTGATCGCGAACTGGCCAACGGAGCTCCTATT